GGCCAATATGTTCTCCCTTTTAGTAAGCTCTCTTTTTTATTTTTCTGAAGGTTTCATTTGCTGTGCAAAATCTGTTTAGTTTGATGTAGTTGCATTTATTTTATTTTTCTTTTGTTTCTCTTGCCCAAGAAGATATATCAGAAATACTAAGCAAAATAAAGACAGACTCATAGATAGAAAGCAGGCAGACATCTCTGGTGGGTGGAGAGGTTGCTGGAGGTGAGATTAAGCAAAAAACGAGAGAGAGAGAGAGAGAGAGAGAGAGAGAGAGAGAGAGAGAGAGAGAGAGAGAGAGAGAGAACTCATGAAAACAGTGTGGTGATTGGAGGATTGGGGGGTTTGGGAGGAGATAAAGGAGGGCATAGAGGGGATAAATGGTGTTGGAAAATTTTAATTTAATTTTAAAATAAAATAAACTAAAAGAGATAAGGGGAGTAGGAAACTTGGGTTACACGATTTATGTTTAAAATTTTGGATCATACTGAACATCCAGTGTTTGCTCTGCCTTTTCAAATAACTTGAATGTTTTTCTGTCATACCAAAAAAAAATTTTTTTTGCTCACATAAAAGAAAAATAATTTTGATGCTTAAAAAAGAAGTTACCCTTAAGAAAAAATGCTGTTGCCATAAAAGCATTCAAGGAGGAATCTGGCTTTGTCTGAGGTGTTAGGAGAGTGCCCTAGAGGAAGTGCTGATGGAGCTGATGTTGGCAAGGAGGAAAAGGAGTTAACTATGCAAGGATGTATGTGGGTGTATGCACACAGATGTCCAAGGGGCAGCTTCATGCAGGTGGGCGTGTTTGAGACAGGTAAGGCCGAAGGAACAGGATGAATGTGGGAGATAACGGGATGTTTGCAGGCAGTCCACAGTGACCCAGGTTGGGCTACACGCAAGGCACTGCATGGGAGCAGGAGAAAACAAGGCCAGACAGACAGGATGGGGCCCCGTGCTGCAGGGTGTTTGAGTAATTGAGCCGGCAGCAAAGAGTTGCTAAGTATTTCAGGATCTGATGGATTGGAACAGGCACAGTACAACTAGGAAGACCACCTAGGAGAGGAGAGACCCTGAGGGGTTTAGCTGCTGCCAGCTGTGAAAATGAAAAAAAAATGACTAAGCTTGGGAAGACAGTATCTGCAGGTAGTAGGTAGCTCATTAGGGGGAAAAAATAAAAAGCAAGCATTGCCCAGCCAATGTGGCTTGGTGGTTGAGCTTGGACCTATGAACCAGGAGATCATGCATGCAGGAGGCTGCCAATTAATGATTCTCTCGTCATTATTGTTTTTTCTCTTCCTCCCTCTCCTTTCCTCTCTGAAATAGAAAAAAATATGTATTTTTAAAGTCGAGTAAGGAGTTGATCTTTAGGGGGCAGATACTGTTAATATAAGTAGTCATGTCAGGGGTAGAAGTACCTTTTGGATGGAGTTGATGAATATGATACTAGAGGAGGTTTAAATTTACAGTATTAAATTGCACGGGTAGGGAGATTTATTGGAAATGCAGCCAGTGGCAAAGTGGGTTGGATTGTAGAATCGATTTTTAAGAACTTTGATTCTTTCTCACCTCAGGTTATTGCTTTATATCACAGATTTGGCTGCAGATATGCAGGATTTGGGATTAGATACAAATGTAGTTGATCTTTAAACACCTAGCTTCAGGAAACAAACCAGATTGGTTTCTGTTTTATTTTAGGATTCTAAGGCGGTTTACTTTGATTCTTCAATTCATAGAAGCCACAAAGGTCGTAGTGAAGTGGGCAGGAACATGCTACAACCCAGCTTTGCACTTGTTAGTTCTGAGCTCTCCGACAAGTTACTTACTAGCCCTGTGTCTCCACTTCCTCACATCAGAAAGGGCTTCCTATTAAATAACCTGTGGTGAGGATGCAATGAGTTAGTCTTGTAGCGTGCTTAGAACAGTGCCTGGCACCTGAGAAGAATGTTTTTATGTTTCTAAAAAAATATCAAGTAATATGAAACTAGATAAATAGAAATCAATTTGATTTTGTTTCCTTGGAGTTAATTGAGAACTCAAAAACCACAATTCCATGTTTTACTTACACTTCCTTATAAGAAATAAAGTGAGGTCAAGCGGGATCTCTAAGCATCATGTCCTCCAGGTTCATCCATATTGTCACAAATGGCATGATTTCCTTCTTTTTAAAGTGCAATAATAAAGGTAAATTAATTTTGATTTAAGAAAAGAGAAGGTAAATTAATTTTCCTTTTAACCTCATATTTCATTGTAACATTTACATGTTCTTTATTTATTTGTTGATGGTCACACCTTGTTTCCATATCTTTCACATTGTGAATAGTGATGCAGTCCATGAGATGGGGATGTAAATATCTCTTTGAGATCCTCATTTCCTTTCCTTCAGAAGTGGAATTGCTAAATCGTATAGTAGTTCAATTTTTAATTTTTTTGAAGAACCTTTTTTTCCCCCAGTGGCTGCACCAATTTACATTTCCACCAGCAGTGCATGCAGGTTCTCTTTTCTCTACATTCCCATCAATACTTGTTATCTCTTTTTATTCTGATAATAGAAAAATCATAAAAGTAGGGCTCTCGTCTTGCAAGTGTGAGGGAGCTTGTGCCTGTGCACTGCCTCAGCTGACCTAGTTAATTCAAGTTCAGAAGATATAGTAGCTAAAAAACGTGATTATTTAAAATAAGTGATTCAGAACATAAATAATTTATAGAAAAATTGCCAGTCTCTAAGATTCTCTATGTTTTTGTAGCAATTAAGAATTTGCCTCCCCTCCCCTGCCTTTTACTTTTGTTCCATTCTTTTCTATGCTTGTGTTCTCAGTGATGAGCAAAAATCTGATGCAGCAAACCTAAGAAAAGAAGTCCTAAATACTTAGAGGGCTGATTGCTGAGTGATGGGCAGACTAAGGTGCAAGAACAATTTTTCCACTAATGCATATCTTAGAGTGATGTGATTTTTAAAGTTAATATATTACAGAATAAGGCACATGCATAACATGATCTAATAATCACTTAGATGTTTCTTTTTTAAATCGTAGCCTTCTGAAAACATTTATATTCTAACTAGAGGCCTGGTGCATGAAAATTCATGCACTGGAGTGAGGGGGGGACAGTCCCTGAGCCTAGCCTGCCCCCACTCACAGTCCAAGAGTCCTCAGGGGCGAGAGGCGACCAGGCAATCAGGGGAAGGCAATGTCCTTATCACACTCTGCTGCTGCCACTGCAGACACTGCAAGACTTGGCCAACCCTGGTTACTTGAGCCTCGGGCAGCCTTGGACAGCTGCCATCAGAGACTTGCCTGTGTCTCAGGCCAGCCCTCGGTGGCTGAGGGTGGGTCCAGCCACACTGTGCGCCTGCCATCCCATGAGGCTGAAAGGACTGGGGGATTCCAGCGGGGCTAAGAGGACTGGGTGCCTCCATCTTCTGGCTGGGGGCATCACCATCTTTGTGATGGCATGACAGTCCATTTGCATATCCCCTCTTTATTAGATAGGATACATTTAATCACACTGATATGGTGCTTATGGTGCTATGGTGTTCATACATTATGCTGCAGGTTTTCTATAATGTTATGCTAACTGAAGAAAATCTGTGTATTGTGGAGTCATTTTTCAAGTTATTAATATTATCAGATGTACATTTAAACAGATATTGGCATTTTTAACTTCTTGAGGACTAAACAAAAGGCTAAGACTATTCTACTTTTGAACATCTTTTTCTGTTTTTGTTTTTGCACCTGTGTGACGTGTTCACCTTTTTACAAATCCACATTTAAAAAAAAAACACCCTATAATATAGCAAGGAATATTTTTTATTTTTATTGAATTTAGTGGGATGACATTGGTTAATAAAATTACATAGGTTTCAGGTGCACTATTTTATATCACCTGTGTGTTCACCACCCCAGTGAGAGGAGACTTGAGTGGTGACCACAATTTTTCTATTGATTACAAGGTGCTGGGTTTCATTGTTCTGTGGCAGCTATTGTTTTTATAGCATGAGCAGATTTGCATGTCCCTTTCACCAATTGTGGAGATGGTGAGGATTATGATATACCACATCAACTCTAGTTCTGATATGGGCTTATTTTTTGAAAAGCCAAAGGCAATATTTATTTTTAAAGATACAACTGGCTCTTTGTGAAGCACTGGATCACTAGAGTGGTCCTGTTTTCACTGAATCATTAAATGAGAAGTGTGTTCCTACATAAGTTCCATAAACTTCCATTGCCCTCTACCTCAAGACCTTTTGGCCAGGAACCATGTGCCTATTGATAATTTTACTCTTCTTCTCAATAAATGAGGATTATCTATTAAATTTGTCTGATTTGTCTAGATTGTGGCCAGAGCTGACCTCACAGCATAGGCTTGTTATTTGGCCTCATCCTGAGTTCAGAAGCCAGCTTTCTCATTTTCCTCTGGATCACGCATAAGAACCAAAGATCCCTCCATGCAAGTTAGAGTGACCCTTTAGACATCCAGGCAACATTCCTCATATTAGGGCTTTTTTCTAAAAATGTTCATAAAAATGTTTGTTTGATTTTGTTGTTGTTTTAATTTTTAATTACTTATTGATTTGAGAGGGAGTGAGGGAGGAGAAAGAAGAGGAGAAGGAGGAGGAGCAGGAGGAGGAGGAGCAGGAGGAGGAGGAGGAGGAGGACTCAACTAGAGCTAAACTAATAGATTAATTAGTTTAATTGTTTTAACTAATAATTTAAATGCATGCATATTAGTTTTATTAAATGACCCATTTTCTGCCGCTGACAGATGCAGCTTACAGCAATGTTTTCTTTACCTTCTATGCTTAATATACTCCAGGTTTCACAAATACAGAGAAACCTGGGGGACACAAAATATAAAATGCCCTCTTGGTTCTAAGAAAGAAAGAAAGAAAGAAAGGAAGGAAGGAAGAAAGGAAGGAAGAAAGGAAGGAAGAAAGAGAAAGAAAAACAGAAAAAGAAAGTCTATTGTGATACATTGTGAGGCTTATGTTCACTGTGTTTGCCTTTCAGATCCCCAGCTCAAGGGCATAGTGACCAGGTTATACTGCAGGCAAGGCTACTACTTGCAGATGCACCCCGATGGAGCTCTCGATGGAACCAAGGATGACAGCACCAATTCTAGTAAGTAGCATCCTCAGACCGCCAGTTGGTAACACAGGTGGTAGAAGACACCAACTTTTAAGCTGCTACTGCTACTTAAACGACTTTTTAAAAAATGCATTTGCAATTATTTGGATATGTTGGCTCATTCTTACAATATTGCAACTAGCATAACATTTATAGTTTTACTTGGACCACATGGATAAAAATATTAATAGAGCAATGGAAGAAACCTGCTACATTAAGACAATCCTGTTGATAACTTAAGCATTTTTCAAACAATTGTCATAACTCACATATTATTATTACTTTTACCCTCATTTCCATAGAAGTCAAATAAGTACACCGGAGCTTTCAAATAGAAGATGATTACATATTTACTTTGGAAGTGTTATTTTTATCAGCACTGTAGCTTATTAATGATAATTCTGGAAACTCTAGGGCTACAATTTGGTTTAAGCAATAAAAATTTAATTCTTTAAACATTCACATTTAATAAGAAATGATCTCTCTGTTTGAGAGGACTTGAAGGCTGTCTGCCTCTAAATACATTGTATACAATGTTTGACTATAATATAGAATTGGGTCTGTGATAAGATTTTTAGTAAAAAAGCCACACACTTCCTATCATATTAATGCCTGTCTTCATTTGGCCATTTTTTATATATAATATTTCTTTGTATTTGTATTCTGGTGTCTCTCCTTATTCAATTTTTATGTGTTTTTCTTTCCTATTTTCTATTTACATGGGCATCTGGTTCCTTTCAATTTATCACATCAGTTCTAAAATAGACACACTTTCTACTGCTCAGGAAAATTAGTGAAAAGCAATACCTGATTTTATAAAAAAAATATTTAACCATATATTACCAGTGGGTCAAGAATGGATCTGAAGCTTTTCATTCATTTATCATTTATTCTTTTTTAATCGCTATTATTGCTCACCCAAGGATATTTTTCCTATTTATTTATTTATTTATTTATTTATTTATTTATTTATTTATTTATTAGAGATAGTTGAAGAGAAGGGTTGGGGAGAGAAAGAGAAACATCAATGTGAGACAGACATTGATTAGTTGCCTCCCACGTTCGCTCAGATCTGGGCCGGGGATTGAACCTGCAATCAAGGTACATGGCCTTAACCTGAATCTTTCAGTGCAGAGGCCAATGCTCCAACCAACTGAGATTTCTGGCCAAGTCTCATTTATTCTTTATAGAACTTCATTCCAATGCCAAGAAGGATGGATTTGAATGCATATAAGCCAATTTAGGCATTTTTTATTTTAAATTCTAGAAATCAAAGTTTCACTAATACCGATTTTGAGAGCATCTAATAATATGAAATAGATTATTTTTGCAATTAACATTACTATGTGAAATATCAAATTTTTAAAGCCACTGTGTTTATTTTTTTAAACTTGGATATTGCTTCATTTTTCTTTTAACTTTCAAATTCTTTTTGGCTTATCTATACTTTATTCTTTTTCAATTTCTAATAGTTTTCCCTTTATGTATCTATTAGATCATCCTTTATATTTTAAACTTTTCCCTATAACATTTGCTCATTGGTTTATTTTTGTTTTATTTTCTTTTTTAATTTAAGAAAAGAGAAGGTAAATTAATCCAGACAGAAGAAAGAAGAGGCATTTTTATTAAAAGATCAGTGTCATTGTTTACTTGGCATTTTGATAATTTGGTCAAATGTTTTAAAATTATTGGTACTTGACTATCTTTGTTCTGTAAAAGATGCCAATTTCTTCTGGTTCAAGTTCACACATATACCTGCTCTCTTTCTTTCTTTCTTTCTTTCTTTCTTTCTTTCTTTCTTTCTTTCTTTCTTTCTTTCTTTCTTTCTTTCTTTTTTTTTTTAAAATCTTTAACACCTTGCCAATCATTTCAAAAAAGGTGTTCCTTTTTTTTCATCTCGTAGTTATGGGGGTCATGAACTTTTGACATTAATACGTTCTGATGTCTTCAATGTTCTCTGATTTCCTTTGACCAGAGTCTAGTAGGGAACCAGTTTTCCTAAATCTCATCACTACAAGAGCTGACTCTCTGATTTATTAGACTAAAGGCTGTTGTCATTTATTATGACAAAAGTTTTTTTTAAAGGAAATAAAATACAGCTGTATGAAGATGCTGCATAATTGGAATGCTTAGAAAAATAATTTCTTTCAAATGAATGTTTTATGATTTTTTTCCTACCTTCTTCTTTGTTTTTTAGAATGCCAAATGAATTGGTTCCTTTTAATGATGAGAATCAATATCAGATTCAGAACTTTTAAGTAGACTTCGTTTAAAAGCATAATCCTTCAGAATTGAAGAAGTAGCACCATCTTTTCTAAATTGTAAAGTACAGATGTAGACATTGTATACACCCACACATAATTATGTCTAGTTATCTGAATAATATCACACACTAAACTGCAAAGCTCACATACTAACAGATACATGACTTCCTGTTCTCTAAGTGTATGGGCTTCTTCCCTCCCATTGTGTGATTGCAATAGAAGGAACAGAATCTCCTGGTAACTCTTGAGATCACCTCTTACTCCCCTAAATGCTGCACATGAACAGTTTGGGGCATGAAGCAGGGACAGGAGCACCTGTGTAAAAGCAAATCAGAACTAAACCACCTTGCCCACTTTCAAGGGAGTTAAATTCTTATGCAAAGGTCTGATCTGCAGCTTCCTTTCTTACAACTTTCATTGCATTTTTTATACACTGTAAGCCAATGTGTTACCATTTCAACACTTGCAGAGCCATAGCAGAACAGAGAAAGCAGGGTGAGACACAGGTTCTCTCCTCAAAATTGTATAACTATGAAATTTAACAAAATTGTATAACTATGAAATTTAACAAAACTTGGTAGAATTATAGCAGCTTTACAAAAGCAATAGAAATTACTAATTAACTCCGCTTTTGTGTACTGTCACCTTTTGAACTAAAGTATACAGTTTTGTTAATGATGAATTTTTTAAGATATTTTCTTTTCTCGGGTTCATTGCAGTAGTCTTATGAATCTTAAGAAAATTGTTAGCCCAGAAAGGTTTTCTTTTTAAAAAAATATATTTTATTGATTTTTTACAGAGAGGAAGGGAGAGATATAGAGAGCTAGAAACATCAATGAGAGAAACATTGACCAGCTGCCTCTTGCACACCCCCTACCGGGGATGTGCCCGCAACCAATGTACATGCCCCTGACCAGAATTGAACCTGGTCGGACCTTTCAGACTGACGCTCTACCACTGAGCCAAACCGGTTTTGGCTGGAAAGGTATTCTTTAATTGAGAGCGAGCATTAGAGACAGCTCCCAATGAGAACATTGTCCTTTTGGTTGGAGGAAGGGTGTGATATAATTTTTGACAAACATGTTTCAGTTTCACGATGATTCTCTGAACAGCAAACAAGGTTTAGTCATCCATAAGTAGGGAAAAATAAGGAGAAATCACCTAAGAGTGGCCCCAATGCCACCCAGATTTACTAACAGCACAAGCTTGAGGCTTAAACCTTCAGATCTTTGTGATTTGAGTTCAACACATATCCTGCTTTTAAGTGTGAAATTATTTAGAACTAGACAAAGTCAGAACCACCCTGCTAAGCTGCAATTGTCATAATTTTTAGATAAATTAAGAAAAGGAAAAGGGCCAACAAGTAGGTGAAGCTGACACTCATGTTGTCCTAGAGTTTCCAGCCTGAGATCCAGAAACCTCTGGGAGAAAAAAGTGGCAAAAAAAAGATTAAGAATAGGGAGGATGGTGCAGCAACTTGACTGCTTATCACTGACTTCTTTATGCCCTCGAAGGATCTTTCACAAGATGAAGGGAACACCGGGTTGCTTCATGACCACACTCATTTTCAGGGGGTACTTCCTTAAAAATCTTAGCACTTCCCTTCTGCCTACCATGAACTATGAACTATGTCAGGTAGTAGTACCATGAACTATGGTATTTGATTAGGGAGTGGTTTTCTTTTCTTTATTTTGCTTTTTGGGGATGCCATGCAGCTTTTTATGCTGCCAAACTCCATTGTTCCAGTTACAAGAGCTAAAAGATACTGCAAGCAGACTAGGACTACAGAAATATCAATAGGCTAGTAACCACAGCAATGTTAAAACCTCACCCAAACCAACCCCTCTCACCTTACAAATTCTCAATATAATACCTTGATATGTAAAAATGGTTGACAGCTCACAGTTACCACCACCCCACAAGCCTTAGGAGGGCGCTCCTCATCTTGGCTATAGCTTAGAGTCTCTTGAGGAACTTTCAACATAAATGTATTATGCCCTATACCAGCTTTAAGATTCTGATTTTATCTGGGATTGGACATGGCTGTCCTAGCTTTAAAGAACAGCCAGCATTGAAAATCACTACTCTTCGGAGACCTAGAGTATTCCACAGAGTAAACAAAATAGCATGAACTTCTTCATTATTTTTACTCCCCGAAACTTTGTGGCATTGCTTTATAATTATGTATAATACAGAAATAATTAAAAAGTGTAATGTCTCAATTAATGTGGGGTCCCGTGGCTTTAATTAACACCATGTATCCAGCATGGTCAGCTCTGGACGGTCTTCCACATGACAGTGATTATTGGATTCACTTTTTATTATCATTTCATAAATTATAATAACTTGTATTTATAATTCAGGTCCAAAACAAAATTCTGGGAGAAAAACCCAGTGTGTTAATTTTAGTATGGTCATTTTAGACTTTCCTTTATAATTTTTTATTTTTCCCACACCCCTTTATTTTAGTGAGCTCATGAATTATACCAGCTTGTCTATGCCAAATATATGGAACTTATAAATACCTTTAAGGATATGAAATTTAGAGTAATTAAATTTAAATATATATTAGGTTAGACTAGTCTGCATGGTAAGTATGTTTTCCCTAAAAAATGTTTTGCACATAAGTCAGGAATTATCCTGGTGCCCATCCTTTCAAATTATGAGGAAGATGGAACAATTCAGATGTTCTAGACAAGAGTGAAAATGGCCAATGGTCTTCTACAAATAATGAATATTAAGAGCTACAATGACACAAGTACCTCAAAGTACTCACCAACTCCACACTCATGTTTAATATTAACTAGTAGAAAAAAGCAAATGTAAATCTCATTCCTCAGTTTGAACAGCCCAATGTTAGTTTGCATCATGAAAACTAATGATCTACCTAATCATATATGCCCCTGAGTATTCTTCTAGAGAAAATTACCTACAGCCATCGCCTGTCTTTTATCAGTTGTGTAGCACAGACATCTTCGGATACTGGGATGGGATGTTATACCTGGAAGAGAAGGTGTAATTTTGTCTAGCCTATTAAAAAATATGACTCCAAATTAAATAGAGCATGATACAAATCTATATATTGAATAGACCCACAGATTGAAGTCAAAATTTCCCACATTAAAAAAATTATTTATCTTTTATGTAATACAGTTAATAAACAAAAAGTGAAAATATTTTATTTATATATTTACTTCAACATTTTAATTCTGTATTGACTATTCTGGCCTGGTTCTATTGGTTAGGATTAAATGTAAATTAGAAAGAACTTGATGGGAGCAGACAAATTCACTGTGGATAATTAATAGTTCTCTTATAAATGTATCTATTATATAATAAAGTCTCCAAAATCATCAAATGATTACTAACCATGGTGCCAGAAAACCCACTACTTAGTCAATATGTGACTCTGGCATGGAAATGTGTTAAAGAGATATTAATACTCTTTATAAAACCAATATAACATTGCTATCTATACTCTGTAAAAAAAAAAACAAAACACCCATATAAAAACACTTCTTTGTCAATAAGGGAAGAAACAAAAACATGGTAACAAAGGATTTTTTTCTCTCTAAGGTGGGAAAAATTGAGAACTTTTCCTCTTTATTTTAATTTTCATTAATAATTTTATGAACTATTAATAAAGAGTATTTCTTTCTAAATTTTGCATTGCATTGCATTCAGTTTGATTCGTTCTTTCTAGATTTAGCACATTATCAGATGCACATCTTTTGTGGGCTCTGCTGGATTATCATGTTGGTTCAGCAGCAGTAACTGAGTTTTGGAATTGCCTTTTTAACTCTGGGCTGTGCCACATCGCAGTGATTAAGCACACCTTCTGCAAGCCAGGCCAGGATAAACAGTCAACGTGGACTTTTTAAATTCTCCTCTTTGAGAATCTTTACAGCTGATTACTTTGGTATCAAGTGGTGTCAGAGACTGCGATACTGGAAGCAGAATTACAGGCTTGATTCTGCTCATTTTTGCACCAGCTCTTCAAAATGCTATAGACAGACTGCTAAGATCTACACACTAAAGTTCAAGGGCTAATTCTATTCATAGCAGACCCTTCTTAATTAGAGAGAGAAATAAAAGTTAGTTAATCGGAACTTCTCAGGAGGCTGTAACAAAGGTGATGTTTCTTAAATAAAATAAATGAGAGATAGGTGATGGCAGTGCTTTGCTGCTCTCTGCCCATTTGTGACAGACCCTGTTTATCTTTCCAGCACTGTTCAACCTCATACCAGTGGGACTGCGCGTTGTTGCCATCCAGGGAGTGAAGACAGGGTTGTACATAGCCATGAATGGAGAAGGTTATCTCTATCCATCAGTAAGTAGCATGCCATAGTCATTGGTCCTTCTTTCAATGTTTGCAAAATAGCAATAGCAATAGCAGCAATAACAAAATGAGAAAGTCCTGTCTATTGCTTCTGTTTTTTTTTAATCTTTGCTACAGTGTTGTGGGAGCTGTTTATTCATTATTCATCAGTGTTTGTTAATAACAGCATATAAAGCAGAAGAGGACATTATTACCTTGTAAAATTGTGTATTTGCATATTTTTAAAAGTGACCCAGTTTATAGAAAATTGAGCAATTTTGAAAGAGTTGATGTTAATATGACATTTTTATTTCTATTTAGAAGTGCACTTGTCTTTGAGAACCTCTTGTAAAAGATTATTTTATGAAAAGAAACAGAATCAATGTGAATTCTGAACAGAAGAGAGAAACATTTAAAGGGACTAGTTCTTTGAAAAATAAGAATTCAAAATGTGTAACCATTTTACTAGGAACATACTTCTAATATAAAAATGTATATTGCTTTGAACTCTAAGCAAGTCTCCTTGTTTTGTATTTATAAAGTTGAGCACTTTTCCAGACATATAAGCTCTTCTGGAATATTTACTCTTTACAAATAATTTGCATTCAGATGTACTGTATACATACATTATAATGCTGTTGGAGTGAATTTCCAACACAGATTCCAGCATTAGAGACTTAGATGAAAGAACTTCTTTCTGCTATCCTCTGAGCAAAAATCAATAGATCAGTCATAGTGCCTCCAGGAAAAATGTTTTTATTCACATTTGTTGTTGTTAAATACTAGTTCTGTTGTTGTTAAATGCCATCATAAAAAAAAACTGCATGTAAATATACATGCAAACATTATGCACAGGCACACACATGCATACAGAACTTACGCAGAATCATTCTTTGGGGCCTCCCATGAAATTTGATAAATCTTCTTTAACAAATCTGGAAAATCTGTCAAAGAAAATAAAAGGTGAGCTATGGATTCCTTTTGTGGGGAGGTGGGAAAATGCTCTTGCTAATTTGGAACCTTTTTCTGAGTTCCCTGAAGGTGTTCCTGCATGCAGACCTGGCCCCACATTATGCAAATTGCATTCTGTTACATAAGATGAATACTCACCATCTGCAGGCATGCTCAAGCTAGAATTCCCTATCCCCGTTGAGGAAAAATTCTATGTAGATTAAGATAATTTTCTAAAGATGCATAATTTCAGATACAAATCAACTTTATTGATTTGACATTTATTCTGTTCTTTTTGTTTCTTTCCCCCAAGTAATCTTTGAGATGCCTAAAAATTATTGGATTCAGTGTCTGCCATAGCCTCTAGTCCTTGGTTTCTGTTGATGGTTTTTTTTTTAATTCATATTTATTGTTGGAAATATTGCAGATGCCCCCTCCCCACACCCTCGACCCCCTCCCCAGATCACATTGTTATACTCTGTTATATGTGTTGATGTCAGGAGAAATTTAAATGTCTGTTTTACTTTTGCTACTGAGAAAGATACTTTATGTTTTTTTGTGATGAGGTCGTGCAAGTGTGCTATTTTCTTATAAGGTAGGAATATGTGCATTAGCCTAAAATACAAGGCAGCCCAGGTTATTTTTTTGCAATGTAAGCAGCGCAGCAGGAATAGAAGTGAGGAAGGCACCAACTGACTGGCCCAGTCTTTGGCATCTTAAATAGGACCTCCCTGCCCAGGAATCACATCTGTTGGCAATAGCCCCGGCCCCAGTGACAACTCCAGGCATATTTTCTACTCACAACTCTCTGATTCTCCCATTACTTGGCTTCTGGACCACTGTTTGGTGGCTTCTCTGCTTTTGCGGATCTTGGTTTTCTCGTCTTTCCATCTTTGATACTGTGCTCTGAGACCAGGATCTGCTAAGAGACACTCTATTTGCCCAGCCCCTACCCTAAGAGATCCCCTCTGCCCAGACCAGGCCCTTAGAATCCTCAGCCATCTTGTAGGAAAGGGACTTACATAAAAATCAAATGAAGTTTCCAGTTTTTACTAATACTCTTCAGTTAAAGTGTCCTGTGTATTTCAATGTAATAAAAATGGAGTTCAAATATTTCAGCAAAAAGAATGTTTTCTCACATTCACTCATTTATCCCATAATTAGTTACTGAGAGCCTACTAAAATAATAATATAACAGCACAATGCAACAATTATTATACTATGCAATGATAGTTCTACTTATAAAATTATAATAGCCACCGTATGTATATAGTGCACTCTGCCTAGCATGGATTTCGGCACTTTATAGGTTAGATCATTTCATCCTTGCAGCAACCTATGAAGCAAATACTGTTAAAATGGTGATACCGATTGTATAGAAAGTTTGAGAAGCTGTGTGAAGTCATCCAAGTAGAGCAGACAAGATTTGAGCACTATTAGTCTGACTCATAGTTTACTTTTCAACTGTTTCACTATACAGTATTGCTTCCATGTGCCAAACATGTTCACAATATGGTCTGGCACCTATTCTAGTAACAACTTATAAGCATGTGATGAGGTAATGAAAATCATTAGGGATTTGGGAAGAAACTTCATTTTAGATATTAAAAAGTATAATTTGAAACAATCTGTTTTCTTTGGAGATTCTCAAATAAAGACAATACAAATCATAGGAAATTCTATTTATTCAAGAAATGTTTGATATTAAATACTGGGTGACAAATATTCTTAAAGTGTATTACATGTAACGTTTGGGCATTAAATTTAAAAGCCAGGGTGGCTAACACAACTAAGAAGTTTTGAATGAGGTTGAGTAAGTTTTTTTTAAAGGAGAACTCCAAGCCCAGGTTTAAAGAAAAAAGTTTAAAGATTTAAGTCTGGGAAATGGAGGAATCTGTTTTAAGCTTATACCCACTTTAAAATGATCAACTTAATGCTTGTAGAGTGTAAACCAATGTCTAATATGGGAGCAATCTTTTTGAGAATGTAGGCAATAAAATACGCAGAGCAAAGTGAATTCTGTTAGATGAAAATCACACCAGATGTATTCCTCTGCGTTTCAGAAAGTAACTCTCATCATCCCCTACCATCCAAATAAAGATATTGAATTTGTCAGGTAATTCTGCCTCAGTGGCATAGAACAGTTATCTGACTGAGATGCAAACATCACTTTCTTTTGCCGAAGCTGCTTGTCACCTGTGGAATCTTTTCTTTAATATGACAGCAGTGATTTCATTTGTGGTCCTAATGATTGCAACATGTTTCTTGAAGATGTACCTCAGGAGATTTAGTGTTAGATATAAACAGTTTCCTTGAAGGTAAACTGCTGTGTTGCAGAACAGAAACTGACAAGGAAATACTGCGTTAGAAAATGAGTCTGAAGTGGTGTTTAGGATAAAAATGTATTTTGATCAACTATAAACTATTTATGGTGCTCTGAGGAACAGTCAAGGTTTTGTTTTTTGTTTTTCCTCTTCTGAACAACTTATGACTTAGAAAGACTAAGAGAATTCTTTGAAGTAAATTATGAGCACTGAAGAAAAATATGAAATGAAAAAAAAACACACGCTGTCATTCCTTATTTGACCAGACATAAAGAATAGTCATTCTGATATAAGAAAGATGTGCAGGGAGGAAAGACTGATAATACAATGGGGAAAGCCCTGGGATTTTATCACAAAACCTGGATCTTGGATCTTGGATCCGACAGCGGATACTTGTGTTGTGTTATCATGTCCCAGATTCTCTGGCTCTCAGTCTTCTCGTCTATAAAATGAAAGGTTTCCTGGATGCTTTCAAGTTAATGTTGAGGTTTAAAATGTTGGCGTTAATCTGATCGATTTTTCTGGATGATGAAGTAAAAAATGTACCTACAATATATAACGATTCGTTAGTGCTGTCTTCCCACTGGCTGGCATTTATGAAAATATTAGTTTCTAAATGGTGCTCTAAATGTTTCTATTACCTGGATGCTGCCATCTGGGAGGCAGTAAGCCCTGATATTCTCCTGAAATTAATATTTCACCTGAGTCTAATAACTGAGAGATACAAGTAGAGAGGAAGATAATCCCTTTTCACGTTGGTTTTTATAATGAACCAAGAGAGGGCTCTGCTACTGTGTTTTGCAAATAATAGGGCCCCAAACAATCACCTGAAGAAAGGAAAAAGCAGATTCCAGGGATCAACTTCCAGCTTTTTCAATTCAATAGGTCTGGTGCGAGGCCCAGGAATCTACCTCTTCCACCTGCCCACTGGTGGGTGATTCCACAACTCAACAACCAATACCACACAACAAGCATCACTGTCACCTGTGGAATCTTTTCTTTAATATGACAGCAGTGATTTCATATTGCTGGATGGGTTGACCCCAGCATACAGAGGTGACAGTATGCAGGTGCCCCAGAGCACACATATAACAACGTCCATCTGGCAGTTGGACATCCCTCTCACAATCCAGGACTGCTGGCTCCCAACTGCTCACATGCCTGCCTTTCTGATTGCCCCTAATCACTTCTGCCTGCCAGCCGGTGATCACTTCTAATCAGGTGATCACTTCTGATCACCTTCTGATCAGGCAGAAGGTGATCACTTCTGCCTGATCACCCCCTAACCACTCCTTTGCCAACCTGATTGATGTGTAACTGCTCCCCTGACAGCCTGTTTGCTCCCAATTTCCCTCCTCTGCCAGCCTGGTCACCCCAAACTGCCCTCCCCTGCAGGCCTGGTCCCTCCCAACTGCCTTCCCCGGCTGGCCATCTTGTGGTGGCCATCTTGTGTCCACATAGGGGCAGGATCTTTGACCACATGGGGGCAGCTATTGTGTGTTGGAGTGATGGTCAATCTGCATATTACTCTTTTATTAGATAGGATAGAGGCCTGGTGCATGGGTGGGGCCAGTTGGTTTGCCCTGAAGGGTGTCCCTGATGAGGGTGGGGATTCTCTTGGGGTGTGAGGTAGCTAAGGTGAGCGACCTGTGGTGGTTTGCAGGCCGGCCACACCCCCAGCGACCCTGGTATCTAGAATTTATTTACCTTCTACAATTGAAACTTCGTAGCCTTGAG